CTCTCTGGTGCGGTTGCGCTCCCTTCACTCTCCCCTCCCTCCCCAGCATGGTTTATTTCTCTCGCTGCGCCGCTGTTTTTCTCCGGGAAATTCCTGGGTGAATTTAGAGGGTAGGCTTAATTTGTTTCATTCCTTAGCTGACACACCGCGCCGGCATCGGCTTTGCAGTTGACATTCCCCACACGTCTAGTCCAAGGTCGTCGCGGCAACCGACTGTCAGCCCCGTCTCCCCAGAAAATTCAGGTGAGTGCCGTTTTCTCTAATGGTAGCGTAAAACGGATACGCATCCTTGTTACTGGGGAGCCTCGCCCAACGCCCGCTAACACTGATTGCGCGCCGCACCATGCGGTAGTAGTGTCCGCGCTGGCAGGCAAACCCCCAGTGCCAATTCCACCCGCTGGATTACAGGTGCCCGTCCGCCGTCGCCCGCTGCTCGCGCCATCGCCCCCCCCTCTTCAACGCCTCGACGGTCGCCCACCACCGACCGCCTCCGGAGATTCAACCGCTGCAGCGAAGTCGCAGTGCTCCCAACCACCACTTGTACGTCACATTTGCGGTTACTTCGTCTGATTCGACGCCTTCTTCCCATACCTACCTAACCGTTCCTTTCCCACTCCCCTTTCTCCTTCCCTCCAATTTTTCCGTTTACAATAACCAGACCTACTTAAAACTCCTTCAATTCATCTCATCACCGCCCCCCGCGTATATTTCAGTGAGCCAGCGAAAAATCAAGACGAAACAAATGCGCGTAGAACTCCCTGCACCTCTTCTTTCACAGTGAATCTTTCGCAGGCCGACACCACCGCCCTTCTTCTTCTTCTTTTTTGGCTGCCACGGTAGCTCAGGCGGAAGCGGTTGCAATATGTGGTGAGGCAATGCCCAAACAGTCAGTTTGTGCGACGGATTTCCTTCTGCAATCGACGCGGGTGGTCTTGGTTGACCCTTTCTTCAAGGCCTCGGATACCTCATATATTCCTACCACAACATCCTCTCAAGGCTGCCTCGCAGACGTCTCACGAAAAATGTGAGTCAACTTTTGCCCTATTCCGGCTTATTTCACCTGCGAAAAGTCGAGAGAAAGACACCATCCAAGCTACTTCGAGCCACTATTTTCCCAAGCTAATAATTTACTGTCAGCTTGGCTTCAAGAACTGGTGGCAACGGTGACTGACTTTCCACTCGACCATTCACTCTCTTGTACGTGGGGCTCTTCGGGTACCGTTTTGACCCTCACCCAAGGTACATTCGTGTCCCTATTTATTTACAGGGTGCTTACTTCTCGATTTTTTTGACGCTGAACTAGCAGCAATTTTGGCTGACTCCACAATTGATGTCCTCGAGATTCACTACCTCGCTCATCGGGCTCCTGGGCTCAAGTTCAACCTCCAATCCACCTAGGTGGAGTTTTCATTTATCCACACGTTTCTTGATTCATCATTAGATTTCCGCTTCCGTGGTTGAACCATGCCTGGCATGAGAGCCATATAATCTGAGATATGTCCCTTACATTTTGTCTTGCCATGATTCAAAGGGAGTTAAACTTGGATCTGGAGTGCACCAATGAGTCCTGTTGCACCAAGAGGTATGTCAGCTTCAACTAGGACTAAATTTGTGGCTGACTTCCTCTGTTCCAGCTCAGTAGAAATGGCCTATTGTTGAGATGCTGACTATGTGGCTGCACATGAAATGCGAAATGAATATAGCCCTAGTGCGAACACCAAAACCACACCAAAACACACTAACAACACTACAATCTATGTGCGAGGTTCAGGGTTCCAACCACAGTATATGGCTGCTGTAATTTAACTTGTTCTTTGAAGCAGACTTTATAGCTAAAGGACCATTAAGAAATGCCTAAACTGTCTTAGTCGCTGTTCGCATCCTGAGAGGTTTAGCAAGTGTTTTAATACAAGATTGTATTGTTTTGGATACTCCTAGGTTGCTGATGTGATATACTACCCAGTTATGCTTCATTTTTCCAGTCACAACACATTTCAGCTAATAGTATGACTTCTCATCAAAACTATGTCCCCAAATGACCGTGCCCAAAATCCGTATATCCACGTGTTCTGTATATAATTCCTTATAGTTCACGCGTCAAAATTCCAAACCTTAGCCAAGCAAACACTTGTATTGTAACCAGAACAACAAAAGAAACTAATAGCTTTTAGAGGTGCTTCTAATGGATACCAATCTTTCTAAGGTGACACCATGCAATAGCCTAGGTCTAATAGAGAAAAGGTAGCGGTCCACTCTCGAGTACCACACAAAACCTACATCCTCATATACATTTTCAAGAACCCTCATAAGCAAATATGAACATAAATATACCGTTAGTCAAATGGATAAACGGAAGTCGGCAGCTAACAAGCCCCGACATGATTCCTACAAATGGAGACAAGGGAAACAATAAGGAAAGGGTACAGGTTATATATTGTGAAGAGATCAAGAAATTTGCCTCCGTTGATGGAGACAAAACCCTCAATAAGAATAAAATTAGAAACCCCATGGCCAGCCTTGTCCTCTTGACTCAGGACCGCATGGCTGCCTCAGTCAGCGAGATAATGTGCTTTAGCAACTAATCAAGCCTGGTCTAAGCAACTTGTATTGCCTAATTAGGACATCTCAGCGCAGTCCGTAACTGATTCTTGCTTCCGTAATGTATTGGTATTTCCTGCGCCGGGTTTATTCAGCTTTGTTCGAGATTCCAACTTAGTATGGTCAGAGTCTGATCTTCCCTTGGTATGTACCTATAAAACAATCCTCTCTGATCAATTAATTGCTCGCCAGATGGATAATGGATGTGTCCTTGATAAGACCGTGTACTGAGTCCCCAATTTTGCTAAGAGATGGTTGGGAAACATGGTCCTCTAACCCAGAAGAACACAAAGCGAGTATATACAGGGAAGGTGTGAGTGTGACTCTTCCAGTTGTCCTGTTAGCCAGGGAGTCGCACTGATGAGACCGTCAGCAGTGCGACTCAGCCGGTCGTCAGTGCAAGCCGTTGATGGTGACAGTCACAGGTGGAACATATGCCGAAGTGATGTGAACAGCCATGCCGTTCATTTGCCGTAGGGTATAATCTTGTAACAGTAGATAATTTTGGGTTTATCACACCACTGGGTGGCGCTGTGAAACTTCAAGGCCAACCTGAGCATGTATAGGTAGCACAATTGGTATTTAAATAACACCGACATGTGCAGATTCCCTTTCGAGCCGTTTTTCAACCTACAGGTGTAGTCATGTGAGTCTTGATTGGCTGAAGCACGAAAACAGGTGGAAGATTTGACCTGAATTCCAGTGTTTACTAAGGCTGGCTAAGATTATGATTATATTCAATTATAATGTATTATAATCTTAAAATTATGATTAAATACACTTTCTTAAGTATTTTGAGGTAATTTGGTTACATTCCACTACGATCAATTACAGAAGAATGTTGGCAGAAGCACCTTTTACCAGTCTCTAGTCATGGTCGGAAGTGTGTACATCACATTTCATTGATTAGGAGCACTGTTGAAGCCTATATTTCCTCTATCTCAGCCAAAAGTTGACAATCACAGTTGGTTTGGGTGGTCACATGATTTAATTGGTGTAACAGAAAATGTTGAAATGAGTGCAAACATAACTCCTGAGGTGCAGGAATGCTGTAAGAATGTTATTCTAACATTTATCCAAGCACTTGGGTGTGTCTGGAGCCCCATCGATTCAGTTCTGGCTAGTGGGAGAATAATCAAACATAATCAATTATATAACAATTAAATATGATTAGTTACAATTATATTATGATTACATTACATTACGGGTTGGGACCATATTTAATCATAATCTTCCAGCCCTAGTGTTTACTGCTGCTGGCCTACTCTCAGTAATCACGAGGGTGTTATGAAGGAAGGAAGCACTGAAAGTTGAACGACTGTTGTGGTTTGACGCAGCGGCGGCTGTGATTTTCCGAGGCAGGTGTGCGCCTTCTGTATATCATCCTACTGGCTGTTTTTGATCCGCAATAAAGTATGGATTTTTTCCAAAGTTGATGAGAAGGTTTGCAGATACATACGCATCGGAACATGCCGGTGTACTTTTTTGACTGGCGTGAAGAGGAAAGGAACACTTGTACTGCTCGGCCCAATGGACCCAGGTCGTGACCACTGCTAACTTTGATACCTCAAACCGCATAAGAGGTACAGTAAACAATGGTGCCGAGGCAGGGTGGCAAATGTCCGCACCGTAGGCTGTATCATACAAGAGTACCCCTACAATCAAACCAGGTAGGAGTTCCGAGAATCCTGTCTGTCTCCCTTGGATCCATAGTCACCCTCTTTATAAAATTAAGCCTCTCTGTCTGTCTGTCTGAAGTTGTATCTCCATATTGTTATGTTGCGCTGCTCAATCGAAGCACCGGCCGCTTGGCACAACAGCTATTAGTGGCATTCAATCGGCATGTAGAACTTCAATTATATTTAGCTCCGCTCGGATGCCGATCTGCAGAGTTGCCGGATCGGTGAAATACAGTTTTGAAGGATTTGTTTTGGAACTTGTAATTTTTTGTTTGCTCTCTCGGCTTTGCATCACTTCCCTTCACTCTCTTTATAAGATTAAGTCTGTCTGAAGCCATATCCCATAATCCTTTTTCTTCAGCTTTAAAGGCTGTTTCTTGCTATGCTCTAAAAACTAACATCAGCCAGTGGGCGCCAGTGCGGAGCGCCGGCGAGCACTTGTATTATTTGGTCTTAATATTTAGCCTTCAGAATTGCAGCCGAATTCAAGTCGCCAATCCCTCAAGATCCGACCACAAACAATTTACTCTTCCTGGGTCTGTCCTGTGTGGAGGACATATTACTGCAGCGCGAAATTCATCATAACTATCACCATGAATCCGTCAAAATCGTCGCACTTAGATTTTAGACAGTCTCTGGCTAGTACTTTGACTTCTCAGATTCAACCGAAGGAGGCTAAAATCGCCTCAGGCTCAGTTCTGGGTCTCCAAGCGGGCTGAAAATTCGAATGTGGTGTAGGCGCAATCCCGCTGTATATTCATCGCCCCTAAATGTCTGCGGAAGCCTGGGTTCGATTCCCGGCATTTGAACAACCCAATAATGCATGTTTTTTTCTTTTCTTTTCGCGGGACCCCTGCCACACCGCGTCATCCAGGATCTGTTTCAGCGCCGACGTCCAGCGTCACGTATGATGGATTCCAAATCAAAGTTGAGTTTACTTGTTTCATCATCCCTTGGTTAGTTGCGTGGGTAGATATACCCGTACAATGTTTTTACGGAGTTCCAGTATCAAGATAAGCTCTAACTCACACCGCTTCGAGTCCTCAGACCAACGCAAAATGACCCGTGTCCAATGGTGAGGTCTGATTTGATTTCATAGAATCAACACCATGTACCAGCACCGTAGAGGCATATATAACGACGTCGGGCCAAGGTAACTGAGAACGAACCCGTGGTGCTCACGCAGTCGCAGATATGAGCTCTCCTGTTCAGGGAACCACCGAACCCCCGTTCGATTCGGGCACGGGTTGTGACATCCCAGCCACTTTTTTGTCTTTTGGATCGCTTCGGAGCTTCTGAACAAATCCTTCTCACTAAATCCTAAAGAGGAATCACATCATCCATTACTTGCACCTGAGTGAGAATCAAAGTGTTGGGATTAAACGCAAGCTTTCCACCATCTAATAAAGTCGAAACTTTACGCGATACTCATGCGCCAATCCTCATCCTCTTTCCTCTTCTAATGTTCACGCGTATTGGATAGAATCGTCTCCGTGACTCGACTTTATCCTCGTTGGTCATCGCGCAGGTCTTGTGCCCGGAGGTTGAGCCAGGATAAGCCCAGCCAATAGCACAGAAGCAAAACAAACATAGTTAGTCACCATTTGATGCTAGTTGAACCGTTGAGTACGACTGCATACCTTAATGTTGACCTGACAGGGGTTGCTAGGATGAATAATACAGGAGATTCTTGCCTCACATAAATTTGAAAATCTCGATGGCCAAGTTGATGTCGCTTACCCAAATTTCTTTTTTCAGGAGGGGGGTCCTTGTGGGAAGGTAACCATGATCTGGAGATCGAACACCTCTTGGCGCAGGTAACACATTTGGACTCAAAAGGTTTTTATGTCGCTATTACACATTAGTGTTGCGATTTACTTTGGGAGCTGTGTCGTATACATATGCCTTACAAGGGGCTGGTCGGCCGCCTCGCGGCCGCCCATTCCCTTTTGCAGAATTGAATTATTACTTAGTCTTTTTGTGATATGTCTGTGGAGGGGAATTAATATTAAATGGCCTTAACTGCTTGGTTGAGCTGAGCTGAGTTGAGTCTGTGGGTAACTGTGGCCAGCTATTCACCGGGGAAGCTACGTCATTTGATATTTAACGCCAAGGGGATCGGTTTTACAGCACATCTGTCAAATAAAGTGTTTGTGGGCCTGGAAAATGTGCAGGCAGTAAAAGGTCCAAGATCAACAAAAGAGGTAATATTAAATATGGGTGCTAGGCAGCTGCCGCAGTAATCGGGGCACTAATTCGAAGGTGCTAATCAGGCAGAGCCTGAAGCCTTTGTGTTCGTGGGAATAGCAGAAACAGCATCGAGGAACAGAGGCAGATATATCACTACGTTGAAAAAGAAGCCATCGGTATCCATGGCCCTGGAAGCTGTGCAGGCAGTAGAAGATCTAGGATCGACAAAAGAGGTAATATTAAATCTGGGCGCTCGGCAAAAATCGGGGCTTTAATTCGAACGCGCTAATCAGACGCAGTATGAAACATCTTCGGACAGATTGGCGCCTATTGGCGCGCAATCGATAAACGCCGGTTAATCGATGGGCCGCGTTTGAAATGGCTTCGCACAGGCGTAATTTTATAAAGAGAGAGATACACTCTCATTTTTTCAATATTTTGAAAGGACATTTTGTCGGCATCGTCGCCGACGCTGTCGGGAGCCTTTGATTGCATTTGATTGCGACGAGGAGAGCATTTAATGGATGTTGACGAAATGCAGTAAGTCGTCCTCGTCGCGCAGCGTAGTCGGCCTCCGAACCCCGCGGCCTGGTGGCTGCCGCAGAAAAGCAGAAAAGATTCGGCGATGACACATCAAATTCGACTCTACACTAGTGTTTTAATGTGTCACGACCGCAACGCTGATCAGCGGTCACTGATAGATCCCACTGCCATCGTGAGGTATTATTACCAGCCTCTCAGGTGCACGTCGCATATGCTGAATTTAGCGTCTCTTAAGTAAATGCTACGTCCGGCACTCGCCTGTGGGGCCTTAGTATTATTACCAGCCTCTCAGGTGCACGTCGCATATGCTGAATTTAGCGTCTCTTAAGTAAATGCTACGTCCGGCACTCGCCTGTGGGGCCTTAGTATAGCCCAGGTCTGTGCATCTTTGATACGGGAGAAGAACACGAGCCGCTACCTGAGTGCAGTTCTCATCTCAGTTCACCAGTTTCTTTATGGTGATAAACCCGTCGGGCCTCTGCATTCGTCAAATGAAAATTCCTCCAGACGACTGCTGGTGCGCCACCCCTTAGTGCATGCATGGATTATTTCGTCCATGCTGTCTCTCTCAGTGAACCGCTTTCCCCAATGCCATTGGTTGGTTGCATCGCTTTCATCCAATCGCCGACCTCATCAACCTGAGATGGTTACAAGGAGTTACATTTTTAGGTTGAACCTCGCGGGAGCCTAAGCTCAATATCTGACATTCCAGATCCGCGTAAAAGAGAGGATGGACTTCACTGGTCAAAGAATAGGAACGGTAGAGAGAGAAGGCATTTCCATCGATCCAACTCCTCAATCGGCCTGGATTTCCCTCGATACGCCCCTGGAGACTAAATGGCATCAACAACGAACTTCTACGATATATCAATCACTCTCCCTTTAAGGCACAGAAACTCGCATCTCGCGTGTACGCCTTTCATACACTACACACGTACCCTGAGTCCCTCTCAAGTGGTGAATATGCCCTCTCTCTTGCCTCCTGAATATCTTCTCCTCGCCCTATTCCTCGAGTCCATCTTTTGGGGCATCAACGCGGTCAGTCTTAGTCTCTCGAGCTACCAAAACGAGTTGACCTACAGTTTATAATCAGGTCACTCTTGGCTTCTGCCTCGAGGCTCTGCTTAGAACGCAAAATCGATGGAAGCGCGGGGCAGAAATCAGCAAGCCAATGCTCTTTTTCGCAGTCCTTATGGGCTGCGTTTCGAGCTTCGATACGGGCACCAGTTTCGTTCTCGGTCTCAGGACGCTCGCCTTTCACGATGGTTTCCGGGGCTCTAATCTCCCCGTAGAAGATTCTTCAGGTTGGCTAGGAGTTATGGGGGTGAGTTCACTATTTGAGGATTCAAGAGTTGATTCACACTTACATTGATGGCGCAAGACAGTGGACGTCATTGTGCAAACTGTCCTAGGCGACTGCATGCTTATCTATCGGTGCTGGATTGTCTACGGTCGCTCATGGCTTGCCATTTTAGTCCCTGTCATCCTCTCCGTCGCTGGCTTCGTATGTATCGGCTTCACGATATTTCTAGAGGTCACGCTCCCAGCCACCTCCTACCTCGCCGGTCCTTATAAGCGTGTGTTGATCTCGACGTGGGTCCTCACGATTTGCATTAACGTTACAACGACCTGCATGTCTTTCCTCTTCGAAGCAATTTTGTTTCTTACGGTCCCCCATAGCGTTGATACTCTTACGTATATGGAGAATTGACCGGCAGAGCGCTGACCTCCAGCTGAGTCGGAAGTCAACCTCTTCCGCGGCCCCAAGCTCATATCAGACCGCACGACGCATCGTAATCGATTCGGGTCTCATGCACACCACCGTCGCTACCGCTACGGCTATCGTCTATATCTGCGGCAGCAACGGATATGCTGCTCTCACAGGAATTGTAGGTCGTTCACGCACTTCTTGTTCAGGCATTAATCTACGCTGGATAACTCAGGATGTGCAAATGATTGCTATTTCTTTTAACCTCATTTTAATCCGCGTGCACCGGAAACGCGCTGCAGCGTTAAGGCCGCGCAGCGACCTCGAGCGACGGCCTGCTTCGACCCTACGGTTCGGCGTTTTGCATAGGACGTCACCTACAGCTGACACGGCGTTGGGAGACCTGGAGTCCAATCACAACACAAGAAGTTTCGCTGTCAACTCCGATAGTATTTTAGATGTCTCGACGTCCTCCAATGAAATACGAGATTAAAGGCCAAGCATAACTGAGTGTTTTTGTGGAAAGAGAGATGTTTACAGTGGCGGCAAAAAAGAATTGCCGGCATTGTTTAGGCCCATTCTTGGCGTAATGACTTCAAATAAAATACTACCATGAACCTTGATGAATTTCATGATGTTCTGTGTGCCGCAATAAAATAAATCAGTGGGTTCTGAAAAATTGGAGAACATACGTGAATCCGGAAGTGTACGAAAGTATACCGTAGTTTGGGGAGATTTGGGAGACTTTCGTATACTTTGTATACTCCTGGTATTTTCTGTATACCCAGACGAAAACCATATTTTTTGTACACCTGATACACCTGGTAGACTTTCGTAGACATTCGTATACCTTGCCGGGCTAATAAATCGCCCCAAACAACAATCGGCCCGGGATTGGGGTGCTGTGTTTACGCGTTGTTTGCTTCGCCTCTTTCCCTCTCCTCCCACCACCAGTGCTCCCGCCACAAACACCCGCCCAAGTTGAAATACCGCCAAATGATATCGTTCCCCGTCTTGTGCCCAATTATAGGATGTGGCGAGCTAATTCCCCGACGGTTTCGTCGTCGAGGCACCGTGGTCCCCGTCGCCCGAGTATAAAGATCTATAATTTCAGACCGTACGTCTCGCTCATCCATACTTCGGCCCCTTCCGACCTTCTTCAATGTAAAAAGTGTGATTTTTTTTTTTGGCCGCCATCCCCGAACTATACGGACTCGTTTCCTCTGAACCAGACCCCTTCCCCCGCGACAACAGCTACCCTTCGCCTCCACCTCCCGCTAACCCCGCCATTGATCCAGCCCTTCAAGCTCCATCTTCCGCGTTTTATGCCGCCTGGCCGCGGCCGCCCCGTCGAATGACACATCGAAG